GTTTTATGGCATTGGGGTGCGGCGGTACGGCGTTGATGAAGTGAAGTGAGTTCAGTCGGGCTGAGTTGAGTTGAGTTGAGTTGAGTTGGATGGGTATTTTGTAGATACAAATGAATATACAGACATATTTTTATACATATGTATGTATAGATATTTATTTATATGTATGCATGTGTAGGTTTCATTTATGTATGTTTGTATGTAACAACCATAATACCTAAATACCATCTACATATGTATGTGAGCGCACATGTCTGTTTGTATGTTTGTGTGCCTGTATGCATTCGAATTTATATTTTTGTACGTATACTTCCTTTGTATTGTAAAATAAATTTGTGAATATGTATGTTCCCACAATATAGTATGTACGGGCATACCCTTTGGGAAATTGGGCGGTCGTCAGTTTGGTCGTTCGCAATGTCTAATTTTCATTTGGATATTTTCAGGTGTCTGATCGCTGAGGACTTTTTAGGCTTCATTTATAATAGTGCTTTGAAGAATTCCACCCGGCTTAAGCTGGTTACGAATTATTGTACCCACGCATCCGTCTGAATTTTGTTTTACACCAATAAAATTGATTTATTGAATTTGCTTAAATTTAATTAAACTTAATATCTAAGTTTAAAAATCTTAATAACTCTGAGCTATTACTTTAGTCCAATTATAATAACGAACTTCAGGTGCTTGAGGGCATCTTCAGCTTGCTGGGCAAAATAAAACTTTTGCTATGGATTCGGCAAATCTTGCAGTTTCGACAGGTATTTTTGTCATTCCTAATTATTCAGAAAGAGTCCCATAATTGCTTGCAATACATCTACATTGGCTTTATGACCGAATCGTAAAGAAAGATTTTATGATCCAAACATAAACCTGAATTTCTTCCCAAAACCAATTCGGTCTAGCAGAAACACGGCTCTTCCAGATCAGTCGCCTATGTAGGTGGATGCCTAGATATTAAACTTCACTTGCTTGAGGGATCACGTTTGCTTCTTCACTTTTATGCGCCAGTTTGATGCGCATTCTCAATTCTAATGAGTTTCAAGTGGATAAAGCTATGATTGGGTACTTGCTCCAATATTAATATCTGCGTATGTTGAAGTTAGTACATTTGCGCACGTTGAAATATCTGCAGAGAATAATGCATGCAGTGTTGGTCCCAAAAGAGAGGCTTAAGAGACACCAGTCATAAGTGAATACACCTCTGAGATGATTTCCTTTACTTTAACTGGAAACCGGCTATTGGGAATGTATGATATGAATGTCTGATGGAAGTTCTAAGCAAACTCCCCCCTCCCCCTCCCCTTCTGCCATTCCATAACCACAGCACCGCCGAAAAAGTGCCAATTCCAATTTTTTGTATGTGCTTTAATTCTTTTCCCAACAAATGGAGGGACCTTAAGTTCATTCCAAGCCACCATCGAACGATCGATAGAAGTTTACGAAGATATTTTTACTTCATGACAGAAAAACACTGGGAGGGATTGATATTTCTTGCCGAGGAGCGATTGTAATTAGAAAAATAACTTAATTTTTTTAATTTAAATTAATTTTCTCTTTTATATTTGGATGTTGTTCGGACCAGGACTCAAACCGTCACCCTCTGAATAGCAGTACGCAATGCTAATCATACGGCTGTCGCGGCCGCCGAGTTTTAACCTCAGTTAATCTACCAAAAAGTGTTCAAAATCGTACTCTTAACTGTTCTATTTCTGCTTAAACTAAAATAATAATTTAAATTCCTTATTTTCTCTGTTTATTACTCTTTATTTCGTTTTTTTCACACACTCTCAACATTGATTTTTTTATTTATTCCCCACAAAATGACGCATTCCCGCTCCTTCGGCACTGAATATCAATGCATTTGTTGTAATACCACTTCCCTACAGGGTACATAAGGCATTTATAAGTACGTAAACCGATGATATTTGAAGTACGGACACGAACGAGGTGAATGGAGGAATGAAAAAACGTACATTCACATAAACAAGCCCACACACACACACACACATACACTTACTAATAGAGAATGACAGCAAAGCATAACAATAGCAACAACAGCTACACGAACGTCGGTCGAGTCCAGATACACACACACATACATATATACATACATACGTATGTATGATGTATAAATATTTTACATACATACTGAGCTAAAAGATACATAGATACACATATATTTATATGCACTTTGGCAGTCAGTCGCTCTGCTGACTGCTTGTTGTCTTTTTTGTTGCTTTCGCCGCTGTCGTTGCTGTCAATTTTCGTTCATTCGTTCATTCGTACGTTCATACGTTGGTACATTGAATTGCTAGCTGCTTCGCTTTGCTGTTCGTTGTGTGCTCAATTTTCCTCTACCTTCACTCTTATATTTCGGTGAGCTCTATAAATTTGCCAACAGTGGCTGGCTGAAATTGGTGAAAATCTTTGAAAGGGGTATCTCGCATTCAACATGAATTTCATGCTTCCAACGCAAAGAAAAATGTCCTGTACGACTCTTATTGTAATTAAAATATATATGTATGTATGTATAATAGGCGCTTTTTAACTGCTGAAGCGCTTTTTGGTCGAGCTCCTTACCATGGATATGGAGGGACTTACAGTTTATTCTAAGTTGCCTCTCAACGGCCAATGAGAAAATTTAAATTTAAATTAAAAAAATGTATACATATATGTATATTTTTTTATGTAGGTCGAACTAGGTCTCCAGGTCTTCAGAATGGCAGTGCGCAATGCTTATTTATTAGTCTTTTAGACAAAACACATTAGCGAGCTGGAAACTGTAGTTAGTGCACCTACAATTTCTCAAACCATTTGCTACTACAACCGCTTGAGCGAATGGAACAGATTACAGTAGTTGGACCTCTGATTCGATGTATCCATTTAAGAGATGCCGTAAACTCGAAAACACCCATCACATTTTTTTATATTTTTTCCGAGTTTTATAAACTTTGATATTAATTACCCTCAGACTTAATAGTTGATATAAGCTCGTTTTTCCAAGTATTCCTGTAAGCCCATGTCTCATTTGGAGCACATTCTTCCTTACTATTTTCTTCACTCTTTGCTATTTTGTTATTTCTTACCACAGAAACCCCTCTGCTAGGTACGTGTCTGATTTTAATACTTCGCCACTGCATTGTATGCGCAATACATACATATATATATATATGTATATATATATATATATAATACATTTATAAGCAGACTTTGCTGTTGCTGGCTCTGCTATGCTATTTGTGCTGGCGAACGAACTCGTAACAAGCAACCATAACAGCAAAAACAACAACAACAAAATCTACTATACAATGCATTCGAATTGCGACCGACGACGACAACGACAACGGCGTCGGCAACGACTACGAAGAGCAGTGGGAACAGTCGCTAAATAATTCTTTGTAAAAATTCGAGCTTTCTATTTTTACCAATATCCGTTTTTAAATTTTGAGTTCCTCAACAAATAAATGTAGAAATTGTTTTATTTTGATAGAGTTATGATATTTATTTGTTATTTATGTAGATATATATATATATATATATATACAACTGACGCTTTGTAACCACTGGAGTGATTTTAGAACGAGATAATTTAACATATACATATGTATATATACTTCGAGTATAAATTTATTTAGCCTGATCTATATTCCAAGCATAGGATACTCTTCAAAAAGTTTGACTAGTCTGACCATGACCATCGTTCATAGGTTGAGTCCCTTCCAGTGATAAAATTTGCTCGTGGTAGCCATCGAGCAGATTTTTTCCCGTATCCCAATTCTTATCAATTTTGGACTTCACCAGAGCTAGAGTGACGTCATCACTGGCCTTCCGATTGGCACCGCTTACCCATTCAATTATTGCGGCTGTGTTCATATAAGCGTACTTACTTTTCAACTGATTTTAATATAAATTAAAATAATTTTCGCTACAATATTTAAGCAACCCAAAAAATGAAATACCCACTGTGCCGTGCCGACGTTTACGACTATGCCGACAACTGGGTAGATACTACGTACAGACTGCCCGTCATTTGGACGAAACGTTAGCGCAACGCTTGCTTGCCTGATTATTGAGTAGAGTTGGTATATGTATGTACGTGTATATACTTGCACATTTCAAATATACATACATATGTCTGTATATATGTATGTATCATGTATCTCTACCAAGAGGTAGATAGCAAGCCAACACACTGCACACACTGAAGATTACCGCAACGTCGACGACGAAACGCAGCAAAGTGGGGTGATGAACGAAACGAGTCAACGTTACGTACACACATACATGTATGCTAACTTATATTATTTGGTGTGTGTGTGTGTGTGTTCGCCTTTGTCGAGTACGCCGTGTGGCTTTAGCAACAACACACACACACACACACACACATTACTATTCGTGTGTATGTTTGTATACAGCACATCCACTTTGCTGATGACGATGACGACGGGCACAGCGACGCAGCTTCGTTATTATACCCACATACGTACGATTGCTGTTCGCTACTGCGCCGTCGACGCAGCCAACTACATGTTCACAACGTATTGCTGTGTGGCTCTAGTGAACGTATCTTTCGGTTTGCCAGATTATTTGTGATTTTAGCATGGTAGACTAAGGTATAACGTCGCTCGCACGCACGTTCGTTCGTTCGCTAGCTCGTTTCGTCGTAGTCAAAAAGTCGTCGAAGCAAGCAACTAAAGAAATATTTTTTCCGTGTAATATGAAAGCACTGTTGTAGTAGCGTGATACATTTTTATTAGCAGCACCACAGCCTAGGCACTATAGGCGATATTCGCAACAGTGTAATATGACAACGCGCGTATAAATTCTCATTCCAAAAAAAAAAACAAAAAAAAAAAATAAAAACGCGCGTACGTGATTTGTTCCATTCTCCAATAAGCAGCTACACGTACATAAATATGTACATAAATTCGTAAATTATTTTGCCGAAAATATTTTGTGCAAAGAAATTGTAGAAATTTTGTAGCATAGATAAAAAATAAAAAAAGTTCAAGTTTTCAAAGGAAATTAATATTTTTTCGGCATAAATTGTGTGTTAAAAATTAAACGCATAAAAACAAAGCAAAATAACAATTGGATAGTGTTTGGATGAATTAACATTTTCGTAGAAAAATACATACAATGAATTGTACAACAATACCAGTGACTGAAGATAAAGTGTTTTGGAAAAATCAAGTGAATTTTCACACAAAAATATTGAAAAGCTGAAGCAGTAAACAGCAGTAACAGCGTGATAAACATAGAAAGTGAAACATAGACAGTGACCACAATACACTGTGCAAAGAAAAAAGCTAAAAGCTAAAAATTTATATTACTATCAATATTCAAGTATTAAATAAAAGTAATCAGTGCAATTTGTAATTGTTTGGCATATAAAAATTTACCAAAAATACAAAAAGAGCGCGCACTTATATACATACACACATACATATGTGCATTGCTACAAGTTACAAAATTTAAACTGCAAACCAAAGTCAAGTGTAACCAACAACAAACTATATATGGTAAATCAACAGCACGTTGACGATAACAACAAGAACAACAAGAACAATTAACAACAGTCAACAGCGAAGAACAACAACGAGAAATTCCAAAGTTATTTGCCGCATCTTCTCTTAATATATGCACAACAATCAGCAGATTTCCGCATAAAGGTGTAAACAAAGCGGTAACAAGAAGCAGACAACACAACGCAACGCAACGCAGCAGCGCAACCCAAGTGTACGAACTTCTTGTGCCAACAAGCGCGCAAAACCACGCACAAGTGCAGCAGCAGCAGCAGCAGCAACAACAATATAGGAGCATAAGCCAACAGCAAGCGCAAAACACCAATAAGCGAGTGTAATAAAATAGTGCGTACCATAAGTAGTCATACATACAAACATATGCACACTTGTACTTAGCGCAAAGGCATATAAGAGAAACACTAAAACAATTAGAACTACCATACATACATAAATACTTAAAGGCAAATAGCAATAGAAAATAATTTGCATTAAATCATTAATGAAATTCACAAAACAAGAAATGCGCAAAAGCAACTGAAAGTATTACAATCAAGCAGCACTAAAGGAACAAACAAACAAACAAACAAAAAATTAAAGAAAAATTAAATAAAATATTAAATTGAATATATGTATATTCATATAAAAAAACAAACAAACAGCAACGTAAATTAACTATTTAAAAATAAAAACAAACACATACAAACTTGCCAAGCAGCAGTGAGAAGCAGTCAGCAAGGCAGCAAGGAATATTCTTAAAGCAGCGTCGAAGCAACAGGACGTGGCATTGCAATTACGAGGCAACATTTCTCGCCGACCAGTGACTAGTTCTTCTTATTATTTTCAAACAATAATGTGCACTGAGGTAAGTCATTTTGAAATTGTTGAATTTGAAATAATCACATAATGCATATTTTTAATCAAATTAAATTCTATATCGACAGCAACAATGGGCATATTGGCAAAATTTTTTTTTATTTTTTTTTTATAGAGAAAAGGATTACAGATTAAGACTAAGTGCCTATGACTTGATATTTATACATATGTATATATGTGTATACAGAGATGGCATATTAGAGTAAAAAATTTGCCACTAACTTTGTGCTGCATTTTCATTTACATAACTGCTCCTGCCGTTAAAAATAATTAAGTAAAAAAAATTAAAATTCTAATTTTAATTTAATTCAAGAATTTCAAAGAAAATAATTTAAGCATAAATGTTGTTCAATTTAACTTATTTTTTACGTTTTAAACGTTTTATTATACTTCAGGAATACATATATAATATATATGTACATATGTATTCATAGTTATATTGTATACATTTATGCACAATTTTTTCACCATTAAATTCCTCAAATTTTTGTTAAAAAAATTTATAAAAAAAAAAACGAGCTAGCTTTGTAGTTGTCTCATATAATGCACAATAAAAAAAAAAATATGCTGACAATATGCAGCATGTGTGCAATATGAAAATTATTTAAAATAATTCTAAAATTTTTCAAAAGTATGCATTATGATTTTTTAAACCACCATTATTATATACATATATTTTTATATATCAATGCTATTATATTTTTGCTTTTATTTTTTATTTTTATTTTTAATTATCAATATTAACATGGCAAATAATAAAGCATGTTTGGCAAAGGCAAAATATATAGTAATGAGATTTACTCTATACGAAATAGTTATTCCACCAAAAATTAAATATAGTTTTCTCCCAGGCATAAACAATAAATATTTAAAAAATATATATTTTTTTTTTAAATTTTCTAACAATCACAAAAAATATTAATGACTAAACATTCAGCTAAATAATTTCAATGAAGTTAGCTGTATAGAAAATTCATAGAATTAAGCTTACCTGCTTTATATAATATTTTTATAAACAAGTTATATTTTAATATATTTTATATACATAAACCATATTTGCAAAACAAAAAAATTTTTTTTATAAATTTCTGAAAATTCCTCGCTGATAAAGTAGTTGCGTGTACCTACTGCTCTACTTTTGGCACCAGCCAGACAGACACAACCAAGTGTGAACCTTTTCCACAATAAACCTTGAGTTTTTCGAGCCGCACTTGGGACAGTTTTGCTATAGACGTAGCTATAGATACGGAAAAAGGCCTCATCAGTCAAGATGATTTTTTAATGAAATTTTTATAGTTATTTTTAATAACACCGTAGCTCTTACTTATCAAACATCGAAAAATTATAGTTTGAAAGGTGACATCTACCAAAAAAACAGCAACAAATTTTATTAATTTTTTTCTTCTTATGAAGCATCCCAGCAAAGCACTGCGCGTAACCCTGCTAAAACATGTAATTCATTCTAAATAATGTATAAACTTTAAAATTGTTTAGAATTAAAAAAAGAGATTTCCTTTTAAGTTAAAACCCCGAATATTGTCTTGCACTCAAAATTTATTTTTTATTTAATTATTAACGAAAAATACTTGCTTAATACTTAATTTATTTCAAAATTTTTGTTTTGCAAAATATAATTTTTTATTTATACATACAGAATTTTATCACTTTGAAGGTTATTTTATTAAACCTATTTTAAATTGTATTATTATCTTAAAATTTTTTTTCGAAATTTTTCTTTCTTTTCTTATTAAATATCACTTAGAAATAAAATTTTTTATTAAACCTATTTTTTTTATTTTTCTTTTTATTATTGAAGAGCTTCAAAAATCGTTTAGAAATAATTTTAGCAGTTAAATTTTTTATTCAACCTATTTTAAATTGCAGAAGATTTTCTAATTGCAAAAAAAAAACAATAATAATAATTCAACATCATCCCTTTACAAAATATAATTTTGAAATATTTCTCTGTGCCCTTAGCAATTTTCACAATTATTTTAATATTTTTATTCATATCTGAAGTTGATTTACGTAAACCTATTTGAAATTGCATTATCATTTTATATACATACATATCTATCATATCTAACCTAATATAACTTTCACCGTTATGCGTGAAAAAGGTTCCTCCTAGATAGACTTCATATTCGAAATTGAGACGCCTTCGATTGTATTGTATTTAGTTGACCGTAGGCGTCCTGTAAGTCAATTGTAAGTATTTAATTCTCATGCCTACTTCTACACAATACATATGTATGCATGCATTGTTACCATTAACAACAAAAACAATAATCATAACAATTCAATAGCAAACCACCATTGAATAAGTCGTTAAGAATGTGTAAAGTGGCGCTAAAACGTAGCCACAAGTGTGTCAAAAGTCTATGCAGCATGTAGTATATACATATTGTATGTATGTATGTATGTATGTGGATAGTCAAGCCAACATACGAGGCAGCCAGACATGTCGACAACCCAATGCAACAGCAGCAGCAATAGCAGCAGCAGCAAGCGCTGTCTGCGAATTTCACGCTGTTGCGACGTTATTTTGATCCCTACAATTTGTGGTGGTGGGTGAGTGTGTGATGCAAGGATGCAAGCAGCAATCATCTAAGCATGATGCATATGTACATATTTATATTTGCGAATTTGTAGACGGAATTCATATGTTTTAGCACATCTATATACATACATATGTATACAAACATCTGTATAGATGCAGTTTGAAATGGTAGCACGTGGTGCCATCAGCTAAACGGGACCACCTGCTAATAAATAAATATACATGTACATATGCTATGTATGCATGTACGTATGTAGGTTTGCTTAAGCACATATATGTACATATATGTATGTATGTATGTATGTATTTTCTACCAGCTGTGCGACAATAACTCAATTGATCGGTGCGTTCTGTTCGCACTTGTCAAAAAACACACGCTGGAGGCTCACAGAGTTACGGCAGGCGCTTTGTTTTATCCTTAAATTTATTTTGATTTGATTTTTTATTTTTTTTTTTTTTTGCATATAAAAGCACGTGTTGGCTGCACTTTTTCTTTGGCCATGATTTTTTTTTAATTTTCATTTGTGCCGACGACGCACGTCAGCATCGCCAGAGCCACCACAAGTTCCTTCAAAAGTAAACACATACATATATTTTTAAACAGATTTGTAAGTTTACGCAAACTTACGGTAAAAAATGTTGGCAAAACTTGCATTGTTGTGCGGCAAACTTGCTGCCATTCTTGGCTGTTGCAATGAGACGGAGGAGAAGAAATGTGAAAATATGCATTGACGTACGCACGTACATACATATGTATGTATGTATTTGCAAACTTTTTTGAGCTTACCTCAAATACAAACTACATATTTACTATATATGTATATATTTCCAAAACATTTCTGCCTTTTTTCACTTTCCACAAACGTATTCACGCAAGTTTGGTGTCTAAGAAATGTGTATTAGGATGAACCAAAAGCTAATCTGCACATGCACAATTCTAGCAAAAAAACGATGTCCATGCAAGCCAGGATTTTTTGCTAAATTTCAACAGGAGCTGGTGAGCATTCAAACTTTCTCTTATAAATTTCATGTATTTTTTCTTTCATTGATATTATTTTATTATTCAAACATTCAAAAAAGAGCTTTTGTAATAATTTGTAAACCAAAATTTCTGCTCACAAAATCCTAACCTCTAAAAGCCTGACGCCAATATTCTATCTAAACATAAGTACCACTGCTACATAGCACCTCACTAGTCAAAGCCTTTGCTTGCGCCATATACGTATGTATGTACATACAAGCAATCCCCAACCCTTTTCATCAGTTTTGCTGGTTTTCGCTTTTTAGTGCCACATTATCGCTTTTGGTTTCTATCATTCATTCATTCATGCAACAGTTTAGGCTGCCAACACACTTACCCAATATTACAATGCAACAAAATCTGTTCCCAACAGATAGACAGACAGACAATCAGCAGACTTTTGCAGTCAATTTAATGTTGATGGAAGCATTTACGGTTCTTTTAGTAAATAAAAAAAAATATAAGCAAAAATTTAATTTTATACTATACAGTTTTCAATTGATTTAAGTCCAAGCCCTCAATATGTGGCACCGCAACAAAATATGTAGTAAATTTAATGCTTTTATTTAATTATATTTTATTTAATTTTTTTTTACTAAATTTCATTACTTGAAGACTCGTAAATCGTTAAATTTATTGTGTAATTTTTTTATTTTATCTTTTATTAAATATACAGCATTTATTTAATAAAAAAAATACCAAACATTTTATATTATTTCTATCTATTAACTGTGCCGCCACTGTATATGTATGTATATAGAATTGAAAATCAATTAACATTCGCCATATGACACGGCGCTCTGCATTTCATTTAGTTTTTTTTTTGTCTTCTTGGTTCATTCGATCTTCAAAAGCTACTACCTATTTAGCATTTTTTCACATTCTTTGTTTTGCTCCGCAATTTTTCAATGTACTCGTACACACACCACTTGTTTACATCTCTGCGCAAACAAAACAAAACGAACCGGAAAAAAAATTTGCAAAACAAAAGCAAAAACAAGAATAATCGACCAACTAATAATTTCCTCCACCATTCAAGCAAGTAAGCAGGCAAGCAAGCAAGCAATAAACAATACCAAAATAACAAGCAAACATTTTAAACGACATTAATTACTTCTGCTCAAATACCCATACACAAGCAAACATACATACAACCTGACACACATATGTACGTATGCCTGTACAAACACTCTCTCCAAACCAATGAGCGCAGATAGCACGTGTGGCTGGCTGCCGGGCTGATTTTGTTAAATATGTGCATATATGTATGAATGTATGAATGTATGTCTGCTTTTTAATCATGCACCTTTCGAAGACACACTAATCGTTAGCAGCGCTGTCGCGCCATAAGTAGCCCAATAACGTAACTACGACGACGACGATGACAACGACAACTGTGTCGACAAGA